GCTTCAAAGCAACACACAGTGCCATCGAACTTAGAAAAAACTGCCTCCACAATTTTTCAAGAAAATATGTGGCTTAAGATAACTCGGATCAAAGAAGAGACATAGAAACATATGTGAGAGAAGATCAAATTCTAACATTGTAAACACACCTAGGATAAGGTTCAGTTGGTGGTTGTGGTAAGTCATTCTTGGCAGAGGGACGCCGCGGACGGTAGAACGGATCGCCTGCTTTGTAGTGAGGATAATCATTTGTGGGAGTATCCAGTGCTAGGTCCCGCAACTCCACATATCTACAACAAACCGCTGAGTTCAAATATGTTACGACCAAAACAAAGTAGATACCTGCTAGCATTGCCCACATGAGCATAATTTGCAGAAAGGATGGCAAGGAAAAAAGCGAGGCCAAGAATAACGAAACAAGTTCCTATCCAGCCGATTATGTACCAAGATCGAGCTGTGGAAGATAATGCGCAAAACTGCTGAGCATCACCTCCACATAGATTCATCTCCTAAAGGACAAAGAATAGTAATGAGTATGGAAAACAGAAAATCAACGTACCGAGCTCGAAAAACTTCTGATTAGCGGCTTGAAAACACCGAGATCGATGCAATCGTTTTCAGTAAACGACGACATGGCATAACAAAGGTCATCGAATATGAAGTATGAACAGCACAGAACGGAACATATCGATATGATAAATAGCCAGCAGACTAACTGGAAAAGGGAATATAGTGAATGTGCAAATTTTGTTAAATTGTTCTTCTTGAAAATCTACTGACCAGCATTAGCAACTGGCAATTTCCGTTCTAAGACCAAAACAAACCTCAGTGACCAAAGAGAATATTTTACAGGGTGTCCCAAAAGTCTCGTAGCCTGTTTGCATTGACATAACTTGTGATTCACTTGTAATTTCGACTCCAAATTTATGCCAGAATGCTGCAATCATCCTTCACAACATATATTTATGCAAGAGCAAAATGTTTTAATATGCTTCTGAAAAATGAGATTGTTGAACTATGACTTCACGAGATCCGCAAAAAACCATTTTCTCGGGTAAACAATTTATTCCGCAGCTTGAAGTATTTATAACATTTTGGTACAATTTTATGTCCTTATTGAAGAGGCTTAACACTACTAGTATTATAATAACTGCACTGAGAAGTTCAATCCAACGAAACAGTCAAAAATTTTTTTAGAAATTTTGGGTGCGCGCCACAGCCATTACGCCTTCAAGATCAGTTTTGAATCTGTAGAGCTGAAGCAGTCATTGGATATAAAGTAATATTCTTTCCATACGTCTTCTAATTGAGATCTCAGTTCAACTTGAATGACGAACTTGGTTTCAGAACATACTGTGACTGATTTTCTGTTTTCTTTCTCCGCAAATGTATCCGAAACCTCACCGTGAGATCTACGCATGCCAGCATTAAAATTCCTATAATTTCAACCCTAAACTTCTACAAAAAAATTTTCTTTAGAGTTTGTTATAGCTGAAGGCTCGCTCTATCATACTCCACATTTTCAAAGCAATTGGGAGCATTTCCGTGAAGGCGTGAGACGAAATTCATGACAACTGACCAACCTGCGGCCGCAGCAGTGGCAATCGCCAACAGTTCGAAGGCTTCTGTTGCCAGGGAAAATTGCTTTTACAAATTTCGAGTACCGTGTTGCATTTGCAATGCTTGAATAATGTGTGATTCAAATTTTATACCTCTACGTTGTTCCGTACTGTTTCTATCAGAT